ATAATAATAATGTGAATAATAATAATAATAATAATAATAATAATAATAATAATAATAATGATAATAATAGCATTGACAATAATGATATTGTATCATCATCATTATATAAACCGGCAAGTCAGTCTGATCACAATAATAATGATGATCCTGCTTGTGACAATGATAATAATCAAGATCGAATTGCAGGTTTGTTGGTATTATTATACGGTTTAGTTTGATTGTAATGTAGGATGAATGTAATAATAGTAATAATAATAAAGAATCAGAAAGAAGAGTGGAGGAGAAGCCGCCATACTCGTATGCTCAGCTGATCGTACAAGCAATAATGAGCCAACCCAATCATCAGATCACACTTTCTGGTATATACGCTTTCATAACGAGTCGATATCCATGGTATCGAGCCACTGATAAAGGATGGCAGAATTCAATCAGACACAATCTCTCACTGAATCGATACTTTGTGAAGGTAGTTGTCGTTTTCGTTGATTTATTGCTATTTTACCGTTGTTGTTTTTAAGGTAGCCAGAGCACACGATGAGCCCGGAAAAGGTTCTTTTTGGCGAATGGAACCGTCGTCGGCGCAGCGTAACATTGAAATGGCGTATAAAAAACGAAAATTAAAAACTTTCAAAGGAACGACGCAGTCAACATCGAATACCGATAATAAGTGATCACTTCAACTCTTTAATTCAGAGAATTAATTAATGAAAAACTGATGTTCACTTAAACAGTCGTCAATTATTAAATGATATTAGGTGGATAAAAGTATTTTTTGAAGGTCATATATGTATCATATACGGACGCATTCAATCGCCTTATAAATCTAAGCCTAAACTTGAGTGTGGATCTGAGCCTAAGCAGAAGCTGAAGAGTGAAGCTGAGTCTGATTCGGGCGAATGCTTAGGCCAAAATACAATATTAATATGTATTGCTACACTCCTATAACTTTTAAATATATTTTATTGGTTGATAAATATGGATAGCAATAATTATATTTTCATTAAAGGAATTCGACGTTGACAGCAGCAGCAACAGCGAATAACAGTAATGGCTCATCAGCAGGATCATCATCGATAGCGTTTGTCGATTATAGCAATTGTTCTGAAGAAATGTTTCAGTCATTTGATACAAATTCTCGTGAAAGTGGATGCAATCTGAAAGTTGTATTCAATTATGATGATACGATCAGTCGAGATTCAACCAGTCTTACCACCACTGATAATAATAATCATATTTATAATAACTCTCCTCGAGGTGATTACTTTTTTATTCACTATGTATTGTTCACTCTTTATTCATTTAGATCTTTCTTCACTCATGATAGCTATTGTGATTCTTTATTTTGATTATGTATTATATGCTTGAAGGAAAGATTTGTTTCGATGTGGATGATGTGAATAATGAAGATGAATTGAGTGAAGCGTTGAATATTGATGTAGATGATAGTAAATTATATCAACAACAGCATAATAATAAATCGATTTCCAATGTCTCCTCGCCACTAACGCTTCTAGATGATTTCACTCAGCAACACCAACAACAACACTCATCGCTAATGAATAATAACGGTATCAATACAGATTTAGTTTTATCACATATAAAGTTAATAATTGATTGTAGAGAATTCGTCTGTAATAATGGCCGACTATGAAAGTCTATGTGAAGAGTCATTACGTTATGTGCAAAGTGCTCCTTGTTCACCAAGAGGTTTCTTTGCTTTTATGTAATTATTTCGATTTAATATTTTATATTATTTATGTATATCAATTAATATTTTTATTAACCTGTTTATAATAATAGTTTACAGGTGTATTTTCACGAAGAGAAGTGCACGTAAATGGTTCAACGAACACATCGAATTACCATTATTACTCTGCACCTGGCTCGGCCACATTCCGAGTTCGACAATCAGTCAAAGATGGACGTTCACGTCTACAACTCTGTCATTCACCACCCGAATATCGTTCGTTTAATCTCAACGTTAGTCATATCTCGAAGGTATTTTTCATTCTTCTTCTACATTCATTTTTTAAATTATTACTTCGTTCCTATTTTTGTTATTATTTATTGTTGTTGTTCACTGTTTATTATTATTATTATTATTATTATTATTATTATTATTATTATTATTATTATTATTATTATTATT